AGCGAGTGTGTGTGTGTGTGTGTGTGTGTGTGTGTGTGTGTGTGTGTGTGTGTGTGTGTGTGTGTGTGTGTGTGTGTGTGTGTGTGTGTGTGTGTGTGTGTGTGTGTAAACAGTTGGCATCAATAAAATCAACATTCACGGCTACAAATATAATAGTGGTGAAAAACAGATCTGTCTGAAATAGCTAACATAACATTGGTACAGTTTGTCCTTGTTCTAAATGCTCTGTGTACAGCTGTGTGCTAAAAACTCTTAAAGACTGTTTTTGTAGACTAGAAATGACCAAATATGTATTTTTGGAAGAACCGCAACATGAGTCAGTCAACACAACCACGATGTGAGTGTCTAGAGTTTGCAGAGCTTCCTCAAATACACCCATGCTGCTTTAGTGAGTCGAGTCATTTCATACAGTACCGGTCAGTGTTTGTGTTTCTGGGGAGAATGTGTGAGAATGTTTCTAACATGATCTTCTCTTTGAAATGTCTTGTATTACAGGCAGACATCTGGTCTTTAGGAATAACAGCAATAGAGCTGGCTAAAGGAGAGCCGCCTCACTCTGAGCTGCACCCTATGAAGGTCTTATTCCTCATCCCAAAGAACAACCCCCCAACACTGGAAGGAAACTACAGCAAACCACTGAAAGAATTTATTGAAGCCTGCCTAAATAAGGAGCCTAGCTTTGTAAGTTTCTAAATGACTCTCGTTCATGCTGGTATGAGCAGTAGTACACACCATTATTTTAGATTAACCTTTACTATGTTTGTTTGCTGTGTTGTTCATTTAGAGGCCAACCGCCAAAGAGCTGTTAAAACACAAGTATATTGTAAGGCAGGCCAAAAAGACGTCCTATCTGACGGAGCTGATTGACAGATACAAGCGGTGGAAGTCAGAGCAGTCTCGGGAAGTGTCCAGCTCCGACGAGTCTGATGAGTAAGTTGTCTGCACCCATCAACATCCAGATTATGGCAAGGCAAGTTTATTGATATAGCACATTACAACACTATGCAACTCAAAGTGCTTTTCAAAACTCTCAGCATTAAGAAATAGTGGAGAATTCAATGTGAAAAAGCTCAAATAGAATAAGACTGGTTTAAAATACAAGAATAAGACTTAAAGTGCAATGTGAGGTTTGAATACTTATTTTGATTTATTTTGAACCAAAATAAGGAGATTTATTGTTGCAGCATAATTTAAAACAAAGTATTGCACATAATTGGAAATAAAAAAAGAGTAGAAAATAAGAATCAAGTTTGTTGCGTTTACACATACAAGGAACTTGCTTTGGTATCTGGTACTGAACATAAGATAGTTCTATTTTGAGATGTTTGAACAATATAAACATCTCAAAATAGAAAATAAAACGGAACTAAAAAAGTGAAATATAAAAGTTGACTGTGAAGATAGAAATCTGTAAACTCTCTGACCAATCAAACACTGAAAGGGCCAAATTACAGCTAAGACAATATAAAAGTAGGATATTATTTACATTTAGTGTGCAAGAATGGCATATTAAATGAAATATACATGTGAAGTGTACAGTGTGAAGGAGTTGGTTTGCTCCAGCTATAAGGAGCTTTAAACCTGAGCAACATTAATAGCACACTAATAAAAACCCTGTGTGTCTGCAGGGAGCCCAACGGCCAGGCTTCTGGAGGAGATGACTCTGGCAGCGACGACTGGATCTTCAACACCATCAAGGAGAAAGACCTCAAAAAGTATCAGAACGGAGCAGCACAGCATGCTGAGCCGAAGGAGAAAGAGGTGAGGCCACACACCACTGTGGAGGAAAAAGTAATGCAATAGTTGTTGAGCAAGTCTTTCCTGTGTCAAAGGTATCTTCAATTTCAACTTCTTTCAAATCATCTTTGACAGGTGCAGGAGAGTCCAAAGAAGCCTTTGTCACAAAGCTTATCATCGATTTTCTTGCCAGTGTTTACGGAGGTAATGGCTCTAATAAGTTATCCCAGGTTCAAAAATAATTTGGGAGTTCACTTTTAATTATTATTATTTTTTTTAAATGATGTCCTTGTTGCAGTTGAAAGAAAAGAGCCAGAACCGTAATGGCAAGCCGGAGGCAGCAGAGGAGCTGCGGGAGGCCATTCTCCTGGCAGAGGAGAAGCACCCAGGCATCTGTGACTCTCTCGTAGCTGAACTAGTGCAGAGACTTCAGAGGTAACCAGGGTTCATAATATCTCTTCTCTTTAAAGTATGTATGTGTTCAAATTCAAATGGAACGTTAAGGCTATCTCAAAGGCTGTGGTCTACAAGGGGAAAAAAGGATTAAGCACATAGGCATATTAAAGTGGCTGTACAATAAAAACACTGCCATTTAAATGTAGTCAAATCAAATGACACTCAAGCCATTTGAATGTTCTACTCCATTATGACCATGTAAAAGGGAAACAGGAAGTAGCATGAAGAAAAACGTTTTTAACCCAGATTGTATGACAGTATATGACAATGTGTTCTTTATTCTATGACATCTTGACATGTTCCTTTCCGATGTTTGTCAGGTATTCTGTGCCCCAGTCAGCTGCCAGTCACTGAGAGGAGCTCCACCCGGCTCCGCTCTTATTCCCCACCCTGGTGGCAGCAGTCAGATCTTTCCCTCTGACCTCCTCAGCCTGGATGAAGTCTCCCAGGAAGGTCTCCATCACCCATTTGCCTGAAGCAAATCCTGGCCTACTTAATGTCTGTTTATATGCTAGCACATCACCAGAGGGTCCTATTAAGGACAGTCAGTGGCCAGCCGCTCTGCTGCTTCCATGACTGCCACCTGCTGTAAGATGCCCCCTCTCAATACCTCCTTCACATTGTTGTTTGTTTTAATGATGGAGTCAGCTCTCTTTCTGCAAGGACTCTTGAGTTATTGGTTTTGGTGAGTTTGTGGCTTTTTCACAAAAGGTTTACACTCGGCATCCTTCTGGAGAGAGTACCTTGCTTGATTAATTGTGTGCATGTGTGTGTGGCTGTGCGAGATATCCTGTGAAATGTGTGGTGAAGAGTGACGAGTGGGGTGAAGCATTCTATTGAAAAACTCAGGTATCCTGCTTTAAGTGGATTGGTTCCTCTGGGAGACGGAAAGAGCTCTAGGGTGGTTGTACAGTCTTGTAAATAAGCTAATTTCTACAGATTCATGAAAAAAATAATGGAGTGTTTGTAATGGAACCACTGTGTACAAATGGCCAAATGCAAACTGTAGATAATGGTTGTGAGGTAAATATTTTGAGAGACTAAAATGGCCATACATGAGATTGCCTTGCCTTTCTACTTGTTCTTTTGTATATCAGTCTTTGATTTCTCCAGCTGTAAAACTTTTGAAATGACTCATCCAGTGAATGAAAATGTCTGCCCTCTATCATGTTTTACTTTTGATTTATTCTATATTTCCTAATTCTCTTTTAACTTTTTTGGTTTCACACTCGATGCTGTGGATTTAATATTGTTGGAGAATGTAAAAAAACAAAAAGGCTGGATCCATGAAGCCCCCGCCAGTTTTGAACACTGGATGCTCTGTTGCCAGCGCCGACTCCACAAGGCGTCGAGTCGTGTTGGTTTGTTGGACTTTGCCTCATCCCTTCTTTTTTTTGCTGTGTGTTTCGACTGGTTAGACCGACTGAGGTTTCGTCCATTCATTCCATTAACAGGGCAATGTCATCATCAAGTTTATGAAAGCGCAGACTCTGTTAGTCTTCCTAGGAGCTGCCCTGGTACTATCTATCTCCTCAGCGTACCTACAGCTTTAATTGCACTTCAAGTATAAATGCCTTTTTGACTATAAACAAAGTAGCCATAAAACAGTAGCACGAGACTTAAAAGTATTTTGCAGGTATGCTGTCCGGGACTAAAAAAAAGTCCACCTGAAGTCTCACTTCTTGGACTCATGCAGTGTAAGATTTGCCTGGCTCTATCTTTCCATTTGGACTCCTGAGAGGTTGTTCAGTTGTACAGTAAATGCATAGACAAAGACTTCTCACATAGTAGATAACACTGCTGTCCGATGTACATATTAACATAAAGCCACGCGGTGTTCAGAGACCAGCGGCACTGCGTCTACTTGTGACTGTAGTTTTAAAGGAATGTGCATGATGGTATAACAGTAAAAAGCCTAGTGGTTGGCCCCAGCAGTATGCGTTGTAGCACACTGCTGCGGGACTGCAGGAATGTTGAGTCCTCCCGAACAGAGTCGAATCAGCCTTAGAGTATTTGTGATGAATGGAATGAATAGTATCAGCTTTAAAATGTTAGATCCGATGCTTTTGTTGTTTTTCTTTGTCCCCTCCTGCGCATGCATTGAAATGCACATGCAGCAATGCTTTTAAATGATAAAAGATCAAAAATAATTTATTGAATTCCTTGCCAGTATGATGCATGCATGAACACGTTTTTTTCATCTTCTCAGACTAGAGGAATTTTCAAAATTCTTATGAAGTCAGTCAGATGATGTATATTTTTTTTTCTATGGGCAATACACGGTACAACATGAGACAGGGCAAGTTAAAGAGAGATTTCAACAGTACGGGAATACAATTGTTTGTTAAATATATGGCTATGTCAGGTAGCTTAGCACAAAGGCTGGAAACAGGGTGGGACAGTTAGCCTAGCTCTGTCCAGAAGAAACGCATCGAGCACCTTTTTAAAGCTCATTGATCAACATGTTATAGGTTTGTGTGTTTTATTCGTAAAAACCTGAAAGGATAGTGCGGTAATTTAAAAGAGGTTTTGTACTGGACTGTTTCTTGGCTTGGACCAGTAACTTCCTAGAGTCTCAACAAAACTGCAGATGTGTTGCTATGCTAGCTGTAGCTTTATATTTCCTTTAACCCTCCACCAGTAGGCAAATGAGAGTATTTCCCATAATGTCAAATTATTCTTTTGATTCTCTTATGTTAATGTTTAAAGGAAAAGTAAAATCAAGAAAAAATACCAGACTCAATGATTTCCATTTTCACTCTTTTTTTTTCCTTTTGTTTTTGACTCTTCTGTGAAGGAAAATCTCAACTCTCCATTCAAACTTCTCATGTGAAATTTGCCATGTGAGCCCTCCATCCAAAACAGACGCATTCAATACAATTTGCACCTTTTACATTGTCTTTTATGACTCTTTATCTCAAATGTGTGGCACTTTGCAGATTTATTTTTGTTTTTTAAAAATGGTACTTTAAAAAGCTACAATATTATGTCGCAATTACACTCGATTTATTTCCTTTCCCCTCCCTGGTATGTTGATGTATGGCAATAAAGCAGTGTGAACGCCAGGAGTAATTTCTTAGCACAAGTAGGCATATATTCTATTAAACTATTTTTGTAACCCAAAAGAGCGGTATTATGTAATAGAGGGAGTCAATTTTGGTTCTGTGATGTGTTAAAGTTTCAGTAAACACTGGATAGCACTCACTTAAAATGTGCATTTCATTTTGTGTGACTTTGCTGACAGTTTATAGTCCAGTATACATGTTTGCTAATTCAGGGCAGTGCTGTTGGGTCTATTGAAAGTTGTCAAATGATTAAGGATAAAAATAAAAATCAAGTACAAATTTCATAGAGTTTTGCCATTGTTTGACTGAATCATACATTTAAACAAGACCTGTTGTTCATCTTACATTGCGTCATTCTTGCATAATGTGTTGCTGTATATAGTTGTGAAAAATAGCTAAGTTGACTTAAAAGGTGACAAAAGTTACAATTCTGTGACGACAACCCTGACTTCAGCTGCTAACAAAGACCATGTTCTATCAACCAAAGCAGAATAATTTACATTAAGAGGGGGATTCCTACTCACACTTGCAGTAAAGTATATGCTATCAATTCATTATTTAAATTTCAACAGCCAATATTGATGAGTAGTTACATTTGACAATTAGATGCTCAGCAGGTTAGAAATACATTATCTTATGGCTTGTGTTTCCTATCTGGCATACAGTTAACTAAAACCCAGAATGTCTGGTTTCAATGTGCATGGAAACATCTGGAAGTGACGCCTCACCTCATTGTAATTGGTGGAAATTAATTTAAAGTGACCAGTAAAGAAAATACCACAAACTGTCAGCAAATACCTCACAGCAAGTTTTATTTATACATCCAAAAACAAAAGATCAAATTTCTCACACTATATACAGATATTACATACAGTGTTTGTACACATATTACATCATTTGTACACAAGAAAAATATACATAAAAATGTAAACCTTTGTATACAAAAAATACCTTAGACAAATTAAACAAGGACCAATAACAAAAGGTGACTAGATTAGTTCATCCTATCTTTAAAAACAGTAATACAGTACATTCAATGAGTATAGGAATTTGTCGGCCATCTCTGAATTCAAGCAGTTAAATGTGCCTACAGTCAAGCCCTGTTAATTTGTTCTACTTGGTTTCTGGGAAAGTAAACTGGTGCAGTGACTAATCTCATGCTATGTGGATACAACAGTAATGCCTTGCAAACATTTCCATCCAACTAGAATATTTTTTTTAAACTTTTGGGGCAGTGTGTTTATGACTTAGTTACAACACTGCAGTGACTGAGAGGCCCAGCTGTCTCTGGCGGAGCTACGGGTTCACACTTCATTGTGTGTTTTCTCTTTGGAAGGGAGAGACAGAACTGGGCCTTCTCACAGCTGGAAATGGGGGAGTCTGGTGCAGACTCAGAGCTGGTAATGATGGCAGCTGTTCATTTATTGGGCGTCCAAGCAAAAAAAAAATAATAATATAAAAAGAAAAAGGCAAGACGGACAGGGGACATGTGAAACACCAGCGGCCTCAACCACTCCTGTGCAAATCTATGTTGAAAAAACAACAACTGTAACGTTGATTAGTTTTTCTCCACAAAATGAAATGTTATGCCACCAAGAATCAAGCCAGTGACCATAATCTAATAATATTATAGTGCTCTCAGACCAAAGGTTGCTGCACCATGCAAATCTCAAGACCTCTCCCTGGAGTTTAATAGCCATCAAAAATACTCTCAATCAGGATATATATAAGTGACAGCATACAAACATTGATCCCTCCAAATTCAACCATTTCGATAGCCATTAATAAACAAGAGACTCATTCTACAAGACACATGTTCCACTGAATACATTGCAAATACCAATTTCAATCCATTGCTACTCAATATTTCACCAACAAACCCCAAGATCGAGGCTTGCTCTATATACCTAATACTCAACAATGTCTGTCAAATGTCTAATTATATAATAATTTCCATCAAAAGCCATGGTTGTGCTGCTGTATGAGCCGGTAACAGACAGGGGAGGAGCTTCTGGGTGGTTTTTATTTTCTAAAATTAAATCCAGACCCCAGGATTGCATCATTTAGCTTAAAATTGTGAGTTTTAGTGAAACTGTCACTCCTCAAAACCATTTAAATCACCTACCTTAGCCATCTCAGGGTATTCAGACGTGTTAAAGTGGGTTGCCTTGTAGTCTTGACACTACATTTGCCTCACATGTAAGTCACTAATAACCATTGTATATGTGGACCACAGAGCACCTTTTAGAGTAGACACTTAAAGTCCCTGGATTACACCATCATTAACAAAAGCTCATGTATTAGCTTTAGAAATCCACTCAGGATGACCGGAGAGAAAAAGTGATGTTGGGTTGACCTGATCACTGATCTTTGCAGGCTCTATTTCGGAGTAAAGTAAAAAATACAACAGTTATAGAGGCCAAACTATGTTCCTGATCCAGTCTGGATTCAGCAAGTGAAGCTACATGTGATGAGACCAATAAAATACCTTACAATGCTAGAGTTATGTTAATGTGTTTATTGCTTTAAGAAACTATTTTGACCTTCAAGTGTCTACTAGGCCACTCAGAGTGCCACAACCAATGGTGAGGTCAGACATTTGAGCTAACCAATAAATGAGCACATATACAGTATACACAGTTAAAAAAACAAAAAAAAACAGCCGTTTAAAAGTATTTTGGTAAATTTATACGAGTGACAAATCGGACTCAGTAAAATTCTATAATCATGATAACAGTTAAATAGCTTGAAACATAATGGGTCACAAATATGACAACCTGTACCCTTAGTTTGTCAGAGGGCGACAGAAGCAGTGTGTGAAGCAGGTTGAAAAATAAGAAAATGCAATGGCTATCTGAGCAAGGCAGGGTACAGTTGATCATTTAAAGACACGACTTGAACTGGCAAAGCAAACAAACCAACCACTGATTGAGGCTTCTACGTCAATTAATTCGGAGCACTGACAGATAATCTCGGCTAAAGGTCCTTTCGCCAATTTTCACCCGTTTTTTTCAGAACGGATCGTTTCCCCCTTGCTGACGAAACCACAAGGCATCAAACGAGTCGACTCACACTGACTTAAAATCCGAGAGACCGCCTGGCTACAGGATTAAAAAAAACAAATAGAAAATATTGTGGAAAATCTGAGGTTGTGCAAACTCATTATCAAATAGTGCACTATTACCACATTGCACATATGTAGCAGATGAAAAAGGGGGGGTTAAACCGGAGCCAGTGGACTGGATTGTAAGTGACTGTGAGTCAACAGACCGTTGCAGGCTCTCATTTACTCTGCGTGAAGGGCGGCGTGGCGCTGTTGGCACTTGCAGCGGTGGCACTAACTATGGAATAGCCAGCGGGGGGCGCTATGGAGCTGTGGCTGGGCTGCACGTCTTTCGGGATGCCACTGTGGGAGGCCAATTGATGGCCGAAGGCCGCGCTGAACTGTGGGAGCTGCTGCTTGGGCTTTGTGCAGGTCAGAAGATCGTGTGAGGCGGATGGGAGCGAGGATGAGGGGGCGGGGGCCGTGGTTAAACCAGTCAGGCCGCTCTGAGGCATCGCTGAGAGGGCCGCCATGGGCTGCAGCGTCACAGAGTGGGTGGTGGCCGGGGGCGTTGACAGAGAGGTGGATATGAGATGACTTTCTGATCCTATGAGATTGCCAAACTGTGTTGGGTCTGTGAGGGGGAGGGGGAGATTGTTCCATGAAGAGCGTGGGGGTCCTGGTAGCCCGCTGAGAGGGACTTCCAGCAGAAGGGGGGTGTCAGACTGGAAGGAACTGGCGTGGGGAGAAGATATGTGGTCGCTGTATGGGGAGGGCCCGTGCTCGCTGCTGTAATGGCTGCCCTGGGGGGACGATGTTTGTGTGTCAGACTTGGCCAGGACGTGGGATGCGTGTGTGCGGGGAAACGTTCGCTCCGTTAACGAGTTCTGAGTGAGCAGGGAGGTGGTGGAGGGGGCTACCGTAGAAGAAGATGAGGTCAGGTTGGAGCACGACGTCTGGGGCAGGTTAGCGGGCTGAGAAGGGGGCGAGGGGGTAAAGTGACCCCCTGTCGACTGCAGGAGATTGTCCGTCAGCTCGAGGCTGCTGAAGTTCTCTGTCTGGATGCGGCTGTTGAGCAGGTCGCCCATCCCCCCCGGCTGCACCGGCCCAGGGAACACTGCCATGGCTCGGTGGTCCACTCCTTCAGAGGGGGCCAGGTCCCCCATGGAGGTCAGGCACACCAAAGAGTCTGGGTAGGAGCCCATAGCCTGCAGGGCTCGCACCAGCTCCTCAGCCTCCTCCGTGGTGGGCAATAAGTCCCCATTCTTCCCTATAAATACACAACAATTACCGTTATGAAATCTAGTGATGGAAAGTAATAAAAGTGCATTAACTCAACTACTTCAGTCAAATATTTAGATAAAAGTACTTCAATGTTTCAATGTGATCCTTTCAGACATAAATATTGGACTGTTCACTTTTACAGTTCATTTGGTTGACAGCTTTGGCTCCTTTGTAGATGTCATTTATTAACACAAATGTAAAAAAACGAATAAATAATAGTGTATTATTATAGATTAAGTTTCACAGCAGTATATTAAAAAGTTCAAAGGATATCCAGCTGCAACATTAAAGTGATAAACAGATGAAATCATTATTTAATGACATAATAATAGCATATATTGCTCCACATAATGCGTAGTTATACTTTTGATATTTAAAGTTGAGTTTGATGCTTATACTTATATGATTTTAAGTGAGATTTTTTACTAACAGTATTCTCTACACATTGTCTTTACTTAAGGCGAGACACATGCTTTGGTCAATTTGAGATTTTCTTTCAGAGACTGGTGGATAGAAAACATTCAAAACTTATTTGGGTGTTTATTTTATTACAAAATGTGTTTATTTGGGTCTATAGATTCCTCCTAAATGAAAGTAAAGCATTAGATGATGTGGGAGGACTTTGTTGACACACACAAGAATAAGCTGTATGACAACCTTCAAACAAGTCGAAGTCCTGTAGGTCATCGGGCAGTCTGGGTAACACATCGGAGAAATCCTCCTGGTTTAGCTCGAGGTCATTTGGAATGTCTGCCATTTCATTGGTGATATCGTCAGGAAGCTCCTCTGCACTCAGGTCTGGAGTTGAGGGGCTCCTGCCAGAAAGATGAGATCAAAATGCTTAGTGAAGAAAACCACATGCTTCGTGACACGGGAGACTTTGAACGAGCCTCATGCTCCCAGACACTGGATCTCTGCACACTAAATGTTTAAGTTAACAGTGTAGAGTGAAGCAGACCTGATGCTGGCCTGCGAGGGCATTGCGAGGCTTATAGAAGGCATTCCCAGGTTCCCCTGCGGTAACGCTGGGGGGATGGGTTTCTGAGGCCTCCTCGGCCCTCTCCTCCTCTTCTTCTTGTGTTTTTTGGTGAGTGCCGGGGGTTTGGTCTTTTTACGTGGCTTCCGCTGTTGCTGCTGCTGGTGCTGCACTCGTCGGTTACCATCCCCTCGCAGGAAGTTATCCTGTGTGTTATGTATGAGAGAGCACTTAATCATTGTAACATTAGCCCAAATGAAGATCAACAACGCAGTCACCAAGAAATCAGGCTTTTGGATTTCTTGAGTTATTGTTGACATTCAAAAGGATATTTCCAAAATGTTAAAATTGGCATTTGAAAATGTTTAACTCACCATTTTTTTGGCATGCTCTTCACAGAGTGGTGTCTGGTGCGTAATATCAAACACAGGGATGGAGCACTGCTGACCATCTGCAAATTTGGCTGTGCAACTAGCAAAGAGCTGCTGGGAACGATTCAACAGAATGTCTATAGAGATCAATGAAGGAAATAACACCAAACACTACGCAGAGGGCATTTAATCATGAACTCCGGTCCCACAAACCAAAACATTTACAACTGAAACTGATTAAATCATGTTTTTAACTACCAAAAACAGAATCACAGCCGTTCTTTTTCTCTTGTAACAGCCAGCTATACATGTGAAGAGTGATGTGGTGAAAAGGATACGCTGAAAGCAGTGTCGTGTGAAGGGCAGAGCCCTGTTGTTGCAGGCCTGGCCCTTTGTGCTGCCAGTGCAGGTCCCTGTGTCTGCTTTCTGCTGCCTTCCTGGAGCCGCACTGCAGAAACATACAGGCAAGCAACATCACTGACAACACGTCTCATCTGCTGTGTGCACTTATATGAATCACAGGAGGGAGATGGAGGGTTTGTGATTAGTTCAGATAAGTAAAATGGAACATTTGTGAGATTACCTTGAGGAGCTTCGAGAGGCACCGCGTAACTCCTGGATGAGCTGCCCAGCACAGTTGGGGTTGTTACCGGCAGCATGTAGCAAGGCTTTGCGGAAGACATAGCGGTATCTCTTTTGGCGGATGCTCGCCCTCTCCTGCCTGCACATGTGCTTGTATTTCTCCTGGAGGTACGAGCAAAGCCGAAGTAGCCTTGTTCGCCGCGAGGAGCCGCTATCTTCTTCCAACCTATTTTCAAAGAAAAAAGTTAATAGCACTCATGATGGGAAGCGTCAGGTTAAAGTTTACACTGTGGGGTTAAGACATAAAATACTGACCCATTCTGGGGTCTCCAAGAGCTCTGAAAAGGAAAAAATGTCTCTGTCTCCTCTTCATCGTCATCATCAGCACTGTCTTCTGACCAGTCCAGTCCTGGAAGAGAACTTGTTAGAGCGTGGTACTTGGCAGGCTCAAATCTAAATTTGCTACACTGTATGTTATCTTTCTTATAAAGAAAATGCATATTAATGTATAAGTAAGAGGGGAAAAAAATTAGTGTGAAATTAAAATCAAGCACCTAGATGAGGAAACAGGTCTCCATGCTCCTGGTGTGTCTTGGCACAGAGCTGCACCAGATGTTGCAACCTGGCCAGGCAGCTGGCAGAAGGTGAGAAGGCAGCGGGACGCATGACAACCATGTGCCGCTGATTGTTACTACCACTGTCCTTGCAACTGACAGGCAAGTGAGTAGCATTGAAAGGCATTTTCCTGCTGAGTGATGGCCCAGTAGGTTGCACTGGACTGGGTGCTGCATTAGCGGGCATCCCTGGAGGCAGAAAGTTGACCGTCTGAGGTGGTGGTGGATTGCATAATAAACCCTGCTGCTGTCCTGGGAAAATGAAGGAAGTCACGCTGGAGTGCTGGGGCGGCTGGAGGAGACCTGACTGTTGCCGTGGGAGATGAGAGTTGAGTGGCGAGGAGGGGTGGACACGGGGGCCTGGGGAGGGATTAAAGTGCTCAGGAGGTGGCTGGAAGAGGTCCGTGTCATGGCAGAGCTTCTGGTTGAGCACCAGCCGGCTCTGTAGTTTCTTCTTGATGGCGTTGCCCTTCCGAGGTGAACCCACCTCCTCACCATCAGTGTCATCCTCATAAAAGGCAAAAGGGTCCAGGAGTTCCCCGTCAGGGAGGGGTAACAGGCGTGAACAGGGAGGAGATGGCGGTAGATCATCTAGACCATTCTGAGCTTTCAGAGCTAAAGAGGGCACAGTTATGTTAAGAGCCACTGACTCCAGGTGAGCCCGTGAGCGCATTTCCTCAAAAGCGTCATGTTTCTTTTTCCGTTCCTTCTTGGGGATAAAGCCCAGAACCTGCAGGTGACTGTTACAGTATCTGGAAAACAAGAACACAGCCTCAGCAAACTGTACACAGCACAGGGTGTGGAAGAATATGCTAAACAAACATACAGGTGTTATGTATATATGTGTATGGTATATGTTCTTTTAAGTGATTAACATGACACTACACACCTGCGGTCCTCTGACTTGGGGATGGGGTTGGTACACCGCTGGCTGTTGTACTTGGCCACATATTCACATTGCTTGAAGGGGGCTGTCTTATCCTCCAGAACATGCCGTATACAGAAAGCATAGCCATTGAGTCTGCGCTGCTTGCAGAGCTTTGGGCTGTACGAGCACAACGGCTTATTGTCCACCTCTGAGAAGTGTATGTGTTTGCCTTCATACATCACGTGACTCTTGTTCTTGACAACATCAGCTGATGGGGTAAATCAGGGAAAAAACAATAATTACATCCCTAACACTTAATACTGAGGAGGTAACCATGCATGCAAAATAGCCACCTCTACAACTTGTGACCGTTTACCAAGCTCTTAGCTAATACTTAGAGAAAACTAATTCTGTAAGCCAACATAATTATAAATTACAACCTGATTATTGAATATATATATTAATAAAGTAATTCAACTATCAGTTGACTGTTTTATGAAAACGTATAATGCACTGACATGTTAATACTTTTATGAGATACATTTAGTCTAGTAGACACGCTTTCATACCTTCAATTTTTTTTCTCAAAATATCTAATTGAGAAACGGTGGGTAAACAGAGAATATGTAATTTTATCAAACAGGTATTATCTTTCAAGGTAGCACTTACAAGATAATTATTATGGTTGTACAACACTTTCAAGTTAACGCTCAAAACAGTGACTTGCTGGTGTGCATCCATCAATAAAAAAAAAAAGATAAAGACTTAAATAACTCAATCAAAAATGTGCCTTTTTTCAACAAGAACGCTGCCTTTTTTAATGCTTCATAATAAACACACATGCAAACAGGAGGATGCCAAAAATATATCACGATACACTCTAGAGTTAGCTGCCGAGGTTCACCAGTAGCTTAGCTGCTACTTTTAACTATAATTGTGTGTTTAAAATATGGTTTTATGGATCACTACGGTTGTAAGACCCGAGGTACATGTTGTACACAAAATATCGTGTTGGCTACGTGTAATCTGTTGTAGCCTGGGGTCACGTTAACAACTTTAGTCACGGAGAACCGGACAGACAGCAAACGGTAACTATCGTTTGCTAGCGTAACGAACTACCTTTGGAGCCTGGGGAGCTAGCCATCATTAGCTTGGAGCCGATGGACAGATGTAAAACACAAATAAATGAAATTCTAAACACAATAACGCGCATTATACTACTGTATCATAATATATTAAAGCAACTGTATATCCATATTCAGGCAGAAATACATGTTATCATGATGAACAAAGCGTAAAATTGGTGAGTTAGCTAACAAGCTATCAAGGCTAAAAACACAAATTAGTAGGCGGTAGCTAACCAGGAAACGGAAACATAAATGGCAACACTATACAAAGGTCTATTTTCAGTTTAGTTTTATAAAGAAAAAATGCAAGATGAATCCTAGATTACAAGCAATAATGGGGGCTAATCATGGAGTTTCTGTATAAATAAATATGATATATTTGTGGCCAAATACTTTCGAACAAAGGGTCTACATACGAGGCTTAAGGCCTGTCCTCGAAGGCCTCCGTAATAATCAATATGAATTATAGCCTTTATCGTTACAGAGTCTTATTAGCAGGTAACAGGACTTGAGAATGTCAACATTGCATAACATCCCATATGTACTTAAGGCACGGACTCATTTATTCAGTTACAAGTTACAAAATAAATTAGCCATTAAAAGGAGGCCTATTAGCTTCGATAGCACAGCGGCTTCTAGTTGAACGCCTGGCCGTCTGAGGCCTGCGCAAAACGGCACACTCAGAAATCGAGTCCGAGGCCCTGATGAATTCGCTTACCTTGAATTGGTATGGGCTGTGTAAGGTATTCACTCCAGATAGACGGCCGAAATGTCTATTGCAATCTGCTAGGCTATTTGTGCATCGATATCGAAGACAAGATAATAGCAGTGATCTTCATCGAGCTCGGTATATCTGGAAATAAGGATGCATTTAAATATAGGCTATCCAGAGCAAATATCAAGCAGTAGGCAGGCTGCTGAGGATTTTTGTTGGATCCACAGCCGACTCCACACAGCACCACTACAGGCACTGCGAGGACATGACAACAATCCGCTCAACAACAACAACCTCTCCTACCATATTGGAAATGCAACTTTGTTAAAAGCCCTTACAGTGTAGAAGTGTTATGTTGATATCGTTATGACAGGAATAAGAGTTTGTGTGTGCCGTTTTACATTTTTCACATTTATATAATTTCAGTTAAATTATAACGACTGAGAGGTTCTGCTAAGTGTTGCAGTGTAAAATCCACCTGGACCCCGGCTCTCGTTCTCCATGTGAGTGAGTTACCAGCCCTGCTGTCACTGTTGCCGGCTGTTCCCCGATGATGGACCACGTGCCAAGGAAATACAGGAGCTTGAGAGAAGTGTATTCACATCAAAACAGAATAGTGCCATCCATGGCACCAGCATTTATATTTTGACACTTTTAAAATGTTTTTATCTTTATTTTTATAAATAACAGCACAAAGTAAAATAAGTGGTTTGCTACATAAAACTGGTTTGTTAAATATTATACAAATACCTCTATAACTATACACATCATATTTAAGGAAAATATAATCTCTACATGGTACACATTGGTAATTTTACAAAACAACACTATACCTACATCTGAAGCATAATCATTTTAAACCTCGATCATATACAATACAAATGTCAACTTCCTAACAGATGAAAACATTTAAGGTGCATCTTTGGACATTTGGTAAACCCTAAGCTTATATATTCACTCTGCAAGGAGCACATTCACATTTCTGCAGGTTAGTAAAGTATGTTAGGTCCATTATGTGTAAAGATAATAATACATGTGCTATTATAAACAGTGCAAACAAATAGGTTTCTAGAAATGTGCAAATTGCAGCTTTGTGCGAATATATTTAGTTTTTAAAGGATTGTCTATCCATTGTGCTTTAGCATATGGCTGGCTCTTCCACAGCATGTGCTCCCTCTGTGACAGCTTTCACACACTTTGCCATCGTCTGGGAGGCTCTGCTTATCGGATCTGTGAGTAAAGATTTAAAGCATATTTCAAACTAGCACACAACATTACTGTGAAGACCAACATTTACCTGTATAATGAGTCTAACTAGAGGAAAATGGGTGTTGATTATTCTATGAATTAGAAATGTACATAGAAAATTAATACTAAAGTTGCAATGGAATTTTTTCTGAACTAGAACATGACATTAATTTGATGAAAAAAATAATTATAGAAGTGCTTCATCACTACTTGATGTCATTTAAATCAATCAAATTTGTTTATTACATCCCCATATCATACATTACTATTTTGCCTTGTTACTTTATTCAGCTTTAATGTAACACTTTTGTGGAAATTGCAGATTTTGTATTTATGTCAAATCAAAATAAAAAAAGGCCAAATGATCGCACATTGTGATTTTGATGCAGCTTTATATATATATTATATATATATATATATATATAATATAGTTATATTATGTTGAATTAGTGTTAATATTAGATAGTTTCCTTATAACAACTACAAAAGCATAAACACAATTATATTAACATTAAGGATGATGATACACCACTGCTGCAGGACTTCCTGTAGGACTTTGGAATAGAGAAAACATTTAGACTAGGTTTAGTCAGAGCAGTTCCAGAGCAGTTCCAGAGCACTAGTGACCTACCTGTCATATAGAAGTCCTTCACAGTAAGCTGTGGAGGGACTAAAGGTCCGGTAAGGACAGCCTGGTCAACTGTCTGAAAGAGATAATCCAGATACAACCATCATCAGAGAGAACAGCGTAAAGCAATAAACTGAATTAGCTTACACTTAAATAAGATTTATGTAATAAACTGAACACATGCTAGAGGAAGATAGCAGCTGACCTTAGACAGCTCATTAGCCTGCTTGAAGTAGTTAGCCTCCTCAACGTCATCATATCGAACCAGATTTGGGGAAACCTCTGCCAGTCTTTGACGGACTTCATCAAGGGTGTCATATGGCAGAGTGACTCCAACAAGCTTAAAAAGAGACCAAAAAAGAAACAGTTTTATGTTCCACAGATCAAGGGGAATACATGTTAAAAGCCTGGGAAGGTTAAACTCCTGATGCAGTTTGGTCCTCTCCTTGCTGGACTTGTCGCCTCCCACAAAATGCAATAATCGGGTGTGTTGTTCCCTATGGTTGTTCCCTACAGGTACAAGGGGGTGTGACCTGGGGAACAAAGGAAGATGGAATTGTGTGGGGAAGGATGCTTGTTTTATTTACTTTGTTAAGAAGCGATCAAGGAGGAAGAGGGGAGCCTTGCAGCTCCCAAGAAAGTAAAACAAATAAAAATGTTTAGCTCTTTTTTACAGTGGTACCTCAAGAAACAGGTAGCAGCAGTGAATCCAGTGAGCCTGAGGACCATAAGGGTTGAGCAGCTTACCCAGCCAGAGCCTGAATCATTTTGCCATCCTTCATTAAATGCCGGAGAGTTCAATTCCTTTTTGGATGTTGTTCATTTTGCAATACATTACTGGATTCTATTTTTGCTTTTGACATATTTATTTTATTGGATTATACATTTGCATTGAAAAGACAGTTTTTGAGTTGGACAAATCTTCATCAATTGGACATTTTACCAGTAGTTTTATTTGTTATTTTAATTTGGGCTGAGTCTTTTCCTAACAACTTAAAGTTATCATTGAGTTTTCTTTAAGCGTTTTTCTTTGGTTAGGTAAATAAAGATTTAATGGACCCTAACTATTAGCAGTTTTAGCAACACGGGAACTTTTTATTTTTAACTAGACCTAAAAAATTAAGCTGATTGTTGTAATAAAGCCTTTTTTTTTCTGGTTCACCTCAGAAATGGCTCTAATGATCCTCCAGTCCTCCCTCGCCATCCCCGGTGCAGTCACAGCCACTTTGGTCTGCGGGGCACGGCCCTCAGTGTTCACATAGGTGCTACATTTCTCAGTATATGCAGCTCCAGGAAGCAAGATATCAGCCATTGGTGCCCCGACATCGCCATGGTGACCTGGGCAGTTATGGCACAAATAACTTAATTGGATGTCTCTTTAATTAAAACGGACAATTTGGATTTCAAAATGTTCCTTTTTTAACATACAAAATAATCAGTCAGGGAATCTGCTGCCTCTCACAGCTGCCATACATTCATTAATGCAAATGAAAGAGCTTATGCTGCCGTGCAGTAAAACTGCTGACCTTGATAAATTATGAAGCTTTCCTTTGGGAGGTCTTGGTGAGTAATGCAGCCAGCATCAGCTCCTAGTAGGAACAGGACTTTTGGAGGGTTTTTTCTGATAGCCTCCACTCCTGGCTCAACCCTGTCTCCTAAAAATGACGTTCCCACAGAACTAAACTGCATTCTCAATTACGTTTAGCAAGTAACTTATTTTCTCCCACGTTACGTTTGTTATGAACGTATCTCAAATACGTTTATTTTCTACATATCTTCTAGAAACAGAAAATAATAGTTTTATCATGCCAAAAAGCTGCTGTGTCGTTTATTGCACCTCAAACATTAAAACAAATACAGAGTTACATGTTTCTGTACTTCCTCTAAGAAGAAAGGACAGTAACAGAAGATCTCTTTGGCTTCAGGCTTGATCGCCGTTCAAATGACAGCGTTGGTTTCCCCCAAAAGTGGGCGGGGCCGTAATTGTACTCTCATCTATGGACTGTAACTAACAACACTGCAACAAATCTTCTTAATAAGGAATGTTCCCAAGCTTAGCTAAGAAGTGTGAGAAGTAGCAAATATAGATAAACATTAGCAAATACGAA